ATCCCACGTCACGCAGCTCTGCAAATTGCGCGTCCTCAGATTCCGATGAGACGAATCCATGGTTTTGCCCGCGGCAAAGGTCATGGATGCCCAAAGGGGCCTTCCAATGAGATGGTCCCCTTCCAAAAAAAAAGACACAGACAATTGGGCCGAACAAACAGCCAACGGTGGTACAACAAGAAACAGTGAGGGGAATTGCAGATTCTAAGAGGCAGGTGCCAGCTTGCAACAAAGGACATGTGCTTTTCGCGTCCAAAGTGGCGATCGGTTCAATGGGCACCACCAGTCAATTGCAACTTTTGGAGGGGAAATCTGGTGAACCCTAAAAACGAGGGGATCCAACCTGTGGGTCCAAACGGAGCCCCTCTGAGGCTGGCTGCGGCGCCTGCCCGAGGTCCGGAGCTCGTCGTTGGGAAGACGCGGAGCTGTGGAAAGCCGGGCTAGGCTTTTTTTTAGGGAGGTCCCTGCAACCTAAAGGGAAACCAACCGGAAGCCACTCTGTCATGTGGTGCTCAGCTTCTTTTTGTTTTCTCCGGCTCAGGCCCAGAACTCGGGTCTAGGGGGTGGTTTGGGGCGGATTTTTGGGGTTCCAGAGATTCAGTTCCAGGGGTTCCGGGGCAGTTGGGGACATCGCTTGACTTGGGCGAGTGTTCTTTTATAGAAAGCTAGGCGAAGCATGGAGTCTGAACATACGATTTTCAGTGTACGGTGGACACTCGCTTCTTCACGTCATCTTCGGATTCTCTGGACCGAACTCGGGAATTTTAGAGCCCATGCAGTTGAAACCTTGGACCCTGGGTCCCCGGACTCTTGCCAATAACAACAGGACACGGTGGCTCGGGAAGCTCCAAATCGCCAAACCACAAGGGTAGAATCTTGGCGTTTCCGCTGGATTCTTCGGTCCTGTGGCTTGATGGGGTGCGAGTTCCGGGGCTCCATCAAAATCTGGGAGAGTTGTGAGTGGGTTGACATGTGTTGGAACATGGTTGAATAAGTCCATACCAGCCTTGGCCCTCGTCGTTTTTCGGATTGGTTGGGTGGTTATGGACCCATATTCCAAATGTTGACCCCTGACTGATTCACTAGAATGAACGGCTTAAGTCTCGTTTTAGCGGGGACTCCTTTTGTTCAGGGTAAGACAGGGGCCAAGTTATTCCGAACAAAAGTCCAACAGCCAAACAGCTGAATTTGGAAAATGGTTCCGAATGCTTCCAACGGCAAATCACGAGATCTACTTTTTGGGGCGTCAGTCTGATGCGCGACATTTGGGAACGTGCAAAGGAAACACACACACACACACACACCCTCATCAACCGGGCCCTGATTATTTCAGGGGCACAGTTTCTTCCAGGGACACGTGGTTTGGACCACATGTTCGGCACATTGCACGTTGGAGCGTGCAGGGCAAGCCGTTGTCGGCACGCATGCATCTTGGAGTCAGTGGGCGGGCAGAGCGGTGGCTGGTATGTCACCATAGGCACTTGGCAAATGGGATTTGCGCATCTGAAACGTTTGCGAGAGGGTCTCCCTCGGTGGGGTTGCGCGTTGGTTTGTTTTAGAGGAGGCCTGTGTTAACCCCGCTGCTGTCGGCAAACATATATATATATATATATACATATATATATATACATATCATAGCCCCCATTCAGTTCTTTGCATGGTTGTTTGGTAGACGGCTGTCATGCCATGCTTTGATCGAGGTTCTTTTTTTTGGAGCATTGGTGGCAGATAAATCGGTTAGTCACAACATTCAACCAATTTCCCTTTGCCTTCAATGGTCAAAGAATGACCGCTATGGGCAAAGGCTATCCAACCCTTTTCATTCTTGATTCAATCATTGGAGTAGATGAAATTGGCAGCGTATCTCTAATCCACACCCCCAAAGTAAGGTATTTGTAGCCACTCTGCCATGGGCTTTTTCGCGTGATTTGTTTGGGACCCCTAGACATGAAGCCCCAGTTCCTGGACGGAGCGTCCCATGTGGAAGCTTGGGTTTAGATTGCGTTTTTCTCCCGGTTGGGAATCCTGTAGTCATGGTTGCATGGAAACCAAGCACTTGAACGGCATCTAAGGAAGGGTTTTTTGTTTTCGGAATTCCAGAATGAATCCCACCCACTTCCAGTAGGTCCAGTCTGGATCAAAATATTCCTTTTGGACCCAAGTCGACTCGACGCTCCCTATTGGTGAGTTGGAGCCCGGTGTTGGTGTTCCGGGGTGGTTTCCGATTTCTTTACCCGGAGACCATTCAAATCCGAACTTCCTCTGCAAAAAGCTAGGTTGGTTCAACTTCCCAACCAATTCCAAAGTAAGCTGACTAGTTACCAGTCGGGCTGAGGCCCTTCCTCGCGGCGCGGGAGGAGCTGCAGCATTTCACGGATCTGCTGCAGGCGGTGGCCAACCACCAGGCCGAAGGGAAGCCGAGTCCGGCGAGTCGGAGTGCGTCTCGTCGCTGTGGGTCAAAACCAATGGTACCATTTTGGGGTAGGTGCACCACCCATTTTAGAGCCGATTTTGGTGGGAATCGATTCTTGATGTGTAAATGTATGTCTCTGTATGTGTGTGTGTGTGTGTGTGCGTGTTATTTTCCAATTGGGCAAAGGGAAAGCAAGAAGGAAGCACCCAGCTTGAGAACCCCCCGAAAGAAACCTGAAGAAACCCCAAAGAAACCTCAAAGAAGCCACAGAGAACCCCCAAGCTTCAAACAAAAATGACCAGCCACGAAGGGCTTTCCCTTGCCAGGTCGGCTTTCCCGTGCCCATGCTGCACCGAGCCGCCACTGCGCACCGGAGGCCGGGCAAAAAGCCCGATTTCGGCGGGCGTCAGGCTTTGGCGTGTCCCTTAAATGTGTCTTAAAATAGATGGGTGTGTCGTTCTTTCAGGTTGGACCCCCCCAAAATGATGGGGATTCCTTTTGTCTTTCCATTTCAATCCACCAAAGGCGGGGTACCCTCAAAAAAGACACCTACAATCTTAGTTCCCCATTTATTCCCTTTCAAAGCCCAACAGAACACGGACCCACATCTACCGGAACGCCACAACCCGATGGCTTCTGTTTGAACTGGGGTTTGCCTTAGGGAATTCCTCTTTGGGGACCCCCAAAATGGAACTGGTCGAAACACTTGTTCAAGCCGTTGCTTGGCAGCCTGATGAACACCCAAGTGTCGAGAACCTCAAACGCGTCGGGAGGGCCCGTTTTACTTTCGTCTTCACACAGGTTTCATCTTTTGCCCATGTGTTCCCCCGAGATGAGATATCGACTTTGTGTGGAAGGCATCATGAGGATCGATTTTGTTTACACGTGACTGAGTGCCCAATGGCACATGACACCAGAAGTGAAGGCTCCCCCGCATTTGAAGTCTCACCAAACCGACCCGTTCTCTTTGCGTTTCCCCATGAGGGAAGCCTTCAAGAAATGGCCGGTTTCCTTGAGGTACCGGTCAAAATACAGCGAAACATCTCCCCAAAATTCCGGTTCTCCTTTTGGTTTCCCTTGAAACTGACGCACCGAGGGCACCCTTTCGCCTGAAAAGCTCTTCACCAGGCTGGCGGAGGAGGTGTGCGCCCTGCAGCAGCTGTCCTCCCTGCAGAGCAGCATAGATGAAGAGGAGCTGAAGATGTCTCTTTGTGCCTGGAGCATTCACTGCTGTTGTAGGGGAGCATCATGTGGTGCTCTTGTTGCTTTGGCTTGAACCCCAAAACAACAGTGCCAACGTGTTTTTGTTTTTTTGGTGGGGGGGTTAGTTAATCACCCGTTTTCCGACAATCATGGAAGTGAAGCATGAACTCACGCGGGCTTCGCTTTGAATGCGCTCTGGTTAGGGTTGTTCAGTCACCAATATCGGCCAATCGTTGAGGCTTCCCTTCAGATTTCAACCTGACTTTCTGGTTGTTGATAACTTCGCATACCTTGGTATCAACGGTTGGCTTTTCCGCGCCCCTGGCAGTGAAACGGGGGGGGGGGGTTGACAATCACGAGATCAAAGGATACCATGAGATGAATAAGAAACGAATTGATGGTATACTCACAACCATAGAGATAGAGTTCAATATGTACATACATATTCAATATCTGTCTTCAAATACCAGGACACCTACAAAATGCCCCTCTTTCTGATTTAAAAAACCCTGTATGCTTTAAACCTACCAGAATCTCCCCATCTTTCGCATGATATCTTTTGAAAATTGAAAGAACACAACTCACATTATTTCATTTACATCATAAACAAATTCTCCAGAATTCAATCTTTCTCCCCGTGTTTGTCCATTGGGACGGCCGACCTTCGCCTGGCGGTTCGCCAGGCGCTGCGGGCGGCTCTGGGCGTGGCAGGCGCCTTGGGTCTGGACAGCGAGGAGCTGCGGAGGCCGGGCTCGGAAGACTTGGAGCTCCCGAAGCCGTCCCCTTGCGTTTTTTCCAGTTTTCCGGGGGTGTCTGGGGGGGCCGGTTTTCTGGGGGTTTTCAGGTTTGTTGGGTTTTTTTTTTGGGGGGTTTCTTGTTTGTGACACTAAAAGTTGCGCTTTTAGCAGGGGAGCAGTTCGGACAGCCCTGTGTAGAGGTTCCTAACAAGGCAACCGCCAGCGGAGGTGCCGCCAGCGGCTGCAAGACCTCCAGCTGCAGCGCCCTCTCTGCGAGGCGGGAAGTGTTTGAAGCGCGAGCGGCCTGGAGCATTTCGGGGTCAGAAGCTCTGGGGTCGGACTCCGATTCGCCCAACATTTCTATTCTGGGGAATGATGAGAATTGTGTGATCCAGACTGGGTGGAAGTGTCCTTTAGTTTGGTGGGGCCCCAACTCAAGTTGGACTTATCCATAAGGATGCTCCCTACATAGAAGTGAACAGCAGCAAGGCGAACACCAGTTGGAGAGGTCCACTTCGATTTGGAGTTTTGGGGGCACAAGGGTTTTGGAGGGGACCTTTTGCAAGCCAGGAGTCTTGTGCTGAAATTTTCCCTCGGTGACGAAAACGCCGAAAACGGCCGCGCCGCTTTTTTTCGCGGCGAAGGCCATGGCGGCGGTGCTGGGCTCTGGCGACGTGGCGCAGGCGCGGCAGCTGCTGGGCATGCTGCGCCAGGCAAGCGGTTGGGGTGGATTTGGAGGTCCCAATGGGTTTTCGGAACATGGAACCTGACCGAGGGTCCTGGAAGACTTTTTCTGATGCTTTTGTCTTTAACAGGGACCCTTCACAGTTGGTGGTTTGGATCGAACAGTCGCATTCACCCTCTAATCGAAAGGCAAATCCAAATCCAAGCCACCAACTAAGGGTCAACCTGAGCCACTTACTCAAAGCCCGGGCTGATGAAGGTTCAGGGATAGCCCCCTTGCCAAAACTGGGTGCGGATATCTGCCTTGTGATTCCATCGAGCCACCCTAGTTCCCAGCCATCCGGTTCCTTAGGCTTTGAGAGGCAAGTTCTACTTCTAGCAGGGGATCAGCTTGGACAGCCAGGCGGTGTGGTTCGTGGGAACATGGCCCAAATTCTTGGAGACGGGTCGGGGGATTCATTGAAGGTTGCTCTCACAAGGATTTGCATGTTCGTCACTGCTTCTTTCTGGGTTATCAGATAGGCTAAACTGTGGATTTGTGCAGGAAACTGCCTCGGGACACCTTACCCCCACGGGGAAGGCCAGTATAAACGGTATGTACCAAGCATGGTAATATCCAAATCTGTTGTCTGCTTTTTGGGGGTATTCAAGTCAGCCGCTGGGGGTGTTTCCCTGTAACCAATCACTTGGGAAGTGACTTTGATAGTGGTAAAACAGTGGGGCTAGTTCAACCGTTAAATGTTGTTCAATATCGCCCGTTCCGGTGCCGAAGAAGCCACCCGTTGAATAAAAATACCCCCAAGTTTTGACAACCCGACAGCTACCCTCCCATCCAACCTGACCGGGTCCTGGTTTGCACGATCTTCCTTCCGGGAAGGGCACGTAGCACCACGTTTCCAATGTGACGAACCCAACCCATCGCCACCAGTCACCACACCGTGCAGCGCACGCGCGCGCGAGCCGCGCGTGCTCGGAGGCGGGGCTGGAGGCGCGGAGTGGCCCGTGGCTGCCGGAGCTGCAGGGCGGCGAGCTGCAGAGCCAGCTGGCGCAGCTCGTGGCCGCCGAGGAGGCGCGCTCGAGCGGCGAAAGCTGCGGCGCCGCCGGCTCTTTCCCCAAACAGTTTACTCCAGGGATTCTTGATTCGAAGAGTAGACGGGTTCGCCTGGACGGGTTGCTGCCGCCTCTCCCTTTCCTTTGTCTCGCCGTGTCTGCCCCTTCATAGGTGCCTCAAAGTTTGCTGCCGCCTTCTTGTCTCCCTTTGCCTCCCCTTCCCCTTGTCTCCCTTCATACGCGCACCAAGCTGGGTCAGCTCGGGTTCCTGCCTCCCTTTGTCTTTCTGTGTCTGTGCTCCAGGCTCGGTTCTAGGCTGGGTTTGCGATGGGCCTTGTCTCCACAAGGACCCTCGCCCCGTTTTTTACAAGCAGAACCACCAACCAACGTAAACAGACACCCCCCCCCCACTTCCCCTTTCCCGGCGCTTGGGTCGCACATTGCTTCCTCATCTCCCGATGTCGAGGAGCGGCTGCGGCAGCTGGCGGCGGCCACGGCGAAGGCGCGGGAGCTGCGTCAGGCCGCGGCGCGGCGGCGGGACGCCGCCGCCTGCGAGGCGCAGGACGCGGCGCAGAAGGCCACGGGTTTGGGGGAGGTTGGGGCGGGTTCCTTAGAGTGGATGGAAATTCCAAACCAACTAAGGATTGCGTGATCTGTTTGGGCCAAGCTCCAACCTGAGAAACATATCACGTGTACCCTGAACCCTACACCTTAAACCCCAAGAGACTTCGCTGAAGGGGGGCAAGGTGATGTGTAAAAGCCACCAACATAACGGAATTCCAACCTTTTGTGTTGCCAAATACGGGATGTGTAAGCCGGTGCCTGTGGCTTAACGGCCCAACAAATCTCAGGTTGGTTTCAGGGAACAATTCCATTGAACAACCCCAGAGAATGTTCAAAGGAAGCGAAATCGAAATCTCAAAAGAATCGAAGGAGATCCAACAGGATCCAAAAGAGCTCCAAAAGGGAGCTCCAATCCAAGGAGTAGAGGATCCAAAAGAGATCCTGCTTTTTCAGGCTGGTGTCCTCCCGAGGCGCAGGAGGCGGCTCGGCAGGCGGAGGTGGCGCGGCGGGGCGCGCAGCGGGCGGCGCTCCGTGCGTTGGCGGAGGCGCGGAAGCGTCGGGTTGCGACCAGGCTGCGGAGTCTCAGCGGGAAGCGAACCCCCAAAGGGATCTGTAGGGGATCTATACCAGAAGGTAAAACTGCAAGAGGAGCTCATTGGATGCATGCCATCCATTGCCTTTGTTCCGTTCAGATTGCCAGCTGGTTGAGGTGGACCGATTTGTCGCCGGGCTCGGACAGGGGTTTTCTGCCAGGAGGGGGACTCCCTGAACCCACAAAGGTCCTGGAGACAAGGTCGACTCGATCAAAATCCAGGATGAGGTCCGGACCCAGTGTGGGGGTCACCTCCCTTTACAGTCCTTCTTAGGTTGGACCCACGAAATCGATTTCGGTGCTTCCTCTCGCTTCCTCCACCACCAAACATGATTGCATCCACACCACTGAAATCTAACACCACGTAACTCCACCTTTCTTCTAGCACCAGAACAAGTGCCACCTGCTGATTTTAGGTCTGATCTTCGCTTGGCCAATTTGCGCGCCGATGGTCACAGGAGGTGGCGGACTTGGCGGCGAGCCTCGAGCTCCGCGCTTTGACCGGGGAGACGGAGGAGGAGGAGCCCGGCGCACGGGGCGGCTTGGCAAGCCCGTGCAAAAGGGAACGGAGGTCTGTTCAAAGGGGAGCCAAAAGGAAGCTTGGGCTTTACAGGGAGGAAGGCTACTGTATAATGGCGAGCCTTCCACAGAGGTTCTGGCCTAAGTTGGAGACAATCCCCTCCTTCCGCTTGCCAGACTTGGTCCCTTCAAGTCTCTCAATTTTGGTTCCGGTGGCGGTGCTGTTTCGAGCCGCTTCTGCGGGCTTCGTTTTGACGTGATCCGAGGGCTGGTTGCGGCGGAGCGCGCCCGGCGCCTTGCGCCGGACGGAGGCGGGGCGCTGGACGTGGGGCGCGAGCTGCGGGAGGTGGCGGAGGCAGGGGGGAGTGGGGCACCATGGCGGTGGGGGGTTCGGAGGCGCTACCTCCCTATTGTGGATGGACGCAAATTTGCACCACCTAAGAAGCCCTGGAATGATTCGATTCCCCGACAAACATTGGTTGAAACCATGGTTTCAAAGTGGTGCATGATTTCGTCCAGCTCAGATCCTTTCGCGGAGGAATGTTTCTCTAGAACCGGTGCGGGCAACGACCCCAAATTTCGATTAACTTCCAGCAAGTCCAACCCCACGTTGAAAGCGAGTAGTTTGAAAAATGGACCCCGGTGGCCATGTGCCCTGAGAGGGCAACAGGGAGGTGGTTCGTTGCCAATAGACAGGAAGGCTTTAGTTCAAGCATTCTTAAATCCAGGTTTGGCCCAATTCTTCTTGCACGCTCAGTTTCAGGTATGGTTTTTTGCAGCACGTTGCTTGCAAGGTAGTTTCGTCCGATGTAAGTTCTACGTTTCACCTTGCCTTTGGAACTCATACTTGAAAATTAAGAAAGCGGTTCGGATGTGGCGAATCTTTGAATTCACGCCCTATAAAATCTTGAAAGAGTAACCCCAAGCAACACTGATGAAATCCGCAACAGGCGTCAAACCCATCTTCTGGGGCCAAGACTTGGCGTGAACATGATTCTAGGTGCTAGGGGGACAACTCTCCATGCCCTTTTGGTGTCCTTAAGAAGCTGGTTGCATTTAGCATGGAATGGTGCCCAAGCGCCCAACCGAGGTGCTGAGGGCTTCCAATGGAGCTGGAGGCCTGGGCTGGGGGGGCTCGGGGGCGGGTGAGGGGGTTGCCGACATGTGATTTTTTGACCGTTGTCAAAGTCATCCCCTTGGGTCGAAGGGAAACACCCGAAACACCCTGACTTGTAAGACTTTGACAATCGCAAGGCAAACAGTCAAATGACCCCAGATCTCGGACACCACCCCCACCTTCATGAACCGAACATGGGTAGTGTAAAGCCTTCTTCCTTGTGGCTGGGGTGGTTTGAGGGATTGCCAACTCTTGGCTTCAATGCATCCCCCCATCCATCTACAAGCATTTGGGCCATGTTCCAACATACTTTGGAGGAACTGCACTTGGTGCTGGAGGGGCCGTTGAGCGGAATCAGCCCTTTGACCCATCTCAATCCCAAGGGGGGACAGCCCCATTTCCCACGAAAGCCCTGCTGGAGTGTCCTACCTCGGGTGTGGGGCTCGAACTAGCTTGGGCGAAAGTTTCGTTGTTGTTCCCTTTGTCACTGTGCACGAATCATGCCTCTTGCTTGCTAATGTTCCTGCCTCGCTCAAGTATATCGTTATAAACCATATACACCCTCCTTCCCACAAACATAGCAGCTTGAAGGGACCCCTGTCACTTTCCACTTGCTTCAGATATCACACATCATTTTACATTCATATATCATCTACATGCCATCAACTTATGTACCATATATCAACTCCCACACCCCACAATATTTCATTTTTATGCTCATATACCGCATATATGCCTTTTGCATACCTTTTGTATACCTTTCACATACCTTTTACATACCTTGTATGTACCTTTTACATACCTTTTATGGTCCATGGTTTTATACCATACACCTTCTCCAGTGGTCGACTCCCACCCGGGCCTGTGGTTCAGGTGCCGCGGGGAGCCCAGACGTCGCGGAGCGGCTCCGGCGCTGCGCCGCGGGGCTGCGGGCCGCGGAGCCCCCGGGCCCGGGGGCCCCGGCGCCGCTGCCGGCGGCGGTGCTGGACAGCGACGCGGACCCAAAACGTTTCGGTCCAACCCGGATCCAAAAATCACATAGGGGTGAACAATTATAACCATCATTGTTTACAAATGAGTCACAATCAAGACCCTGGGTAGATGAAGGTTAGGGGCAGTCCAGCCAGAAATAGGTGCGGGCGCCTTTGAAGCTCCTTACATGCATGTGGGTAGATATTTTTTCTACCAGGTTGTGATTGCGGGCCATGCTTCCCGAGTTGCCGGACTTTAGAGTCAATTTGTTGGTGGTACACCAAGAGTTTAGAACTTTGTTTGGATCCTGGGGAATCCTGGGTTGAAACGCTGAAACCAGCATTAAATCCAAGGGGATTGATGAAATTAATGTTACCACCACCATGGTTGAAGCGTTGAAACCACCAGGAGCATTAAATCAAAGGGGGTTAATAATCAGAACCACGATTGTTTACCTAAGAAAATTAATCCCAATTGGGTGAACCATTCATTCAAGCAGGGTTGAACCCTAGGCAAGCAGATCCAGCATTGGCCATTGTAGCGGGTGCCTGGTTACCCTACTTCCTGAGTTGCTCGACTTTGGTCACTTTTTGGGTTTGGACTATTTTAGTGGTAAGCAAATAGTTTAGACTTTGTTTGGCCAATCCACACATCACTCATGAAGTCTTTGTCAGGCCTAGTTTTTATGGGGGTCGTTTTTGCTGAGGACACCTTTTTTGAGTGAAGGCAAAAGTAAACCATCTTGTTTTTGGGTCACCGTATGTTTCGCACACCCATATTCAGCCACTCCCCCTTCAGAGGGTCCCATGAGAAAAGTCGTCTTGGACCCTCAAGTTAGGTTCCATGTTAGTGGGGAGGGTCAACGCGGGAACCAATACAGGGCGGTTTTAACCTTGGCTTTCCCTTCAAATCATCCAACAAAAAGGGTCCTCAGATTATATTTGCGCTCAAATGGGACTGTTTGACCTTTTTTTTTAAAGTTTTTTTTTTTTCTCTTCTGAAGGTCACAAAGGGTTTCCTCTTCTTTCCAAGGCCTTGGGGCAGGTGAGTTTTGTGCGCCCCAATTGATGGGACGCACTTCCAATACTCTCAAGGCCTTCAAATGGCCGGGATTCCCTTTCAAGTGGTTTCCCTTTTTAACCCTGCAAAGAGAGACCCAAGTTGAACCAAGCGTTGGGACCAAGCAAACCCCAAGTGTTCCTTTCCTAACGTGGGGGGCAATAATTGGTTGTGTTTTTTCTTTAGGTGACCCAACATGTGTGTTTTCCATTTGGTTTTCCTTTAAATCAACCCAAGAAACGTAACCTCAAACAAACGCCGGGGCTCAACATGGGCCCAGCCGATTTGGCACAAGGCGCGGACGTGGGCACGCGCCGCGCGCTTCTGCGCCTCGTGGAGGAGAGGGACGAGTTCCACCGGGCACAGGCGGAGCAACCGAGAGGAACAGCTTAGCTGAAGGGACCTGGCCGTCGAAGAAACCAGCGAACCAGGGAGTTGATTCGGGGAATCCCCTTTCGGTCTTTGGCCAATTCACTGTAGAACTCCCTCTGGTTTCTACGAGGGTGGAACAAGGGGGTTCTCTGCAAGGGGTTTTCTGGAGGGATAGCCCGAGTACGAAGGATGACTGGTTTCCCGCGTGGGGAAATACGTATGGAATTCGAAGGGTGAGTTGGGGTGGAAGGATTACGCGTGCTGACGGTCTACCCATGGCTAGCGACTGTTTCAAATGCACCACCTTTCTTTATAGCTGGGCAGGCAAGAGGGTCTGCCGCAAAAATAATATTTCCATTTTCACCCTGCTGCGCCAGTGCGAATATGGACAAGAAGAACAGGTTATGCTTGATGCCGGTGACATCCGAAAGCTTTCTACCCAACCCAGCGACATATAGCCCGACTCAAGTTATCATCTGCGGGAATCATTTCCCCTCAGGGGTTTTATGCCAGGCTTGGAGTTCTTTTGGAGCAGAACTTTACACCGCCCCGCACCGCACTCTGAACGGATTCGCTTTCGCCAGGCCAAGCACTTGGATGTCGCTGAGAGGTACCCCGAAGGCGTTCGGAACGCGTCTTGTTTCCGGAATCGGAGCCCCAAAATGGATTTCGGTGTTCCTTTTGAACCTTTTGGTTTCCAGTTTCTTTTTTGCAGAAAAACAGAAGGGTACCCTAAACAGATGCAGCCACATTCAGCTTTGGATTTCGGGTTCCCAACATCTCAGTTGAACTTACGAACTCAAGACAACCCGGCCTGGGCGCAAACGCAGACATCTCCTTGGGGTGGTTTTCACGCATAGCCCTGTAGGTTTCCGATGTTGATTTAGATTTCCCTGAGGTCGGAATCATGTAAGGAAGCGGATTCCGCTTTTTGTCCTGGCTTCAAACATCTGCGCTTGCCGCATGAAGCCTAGCCATGTTGGATATAGGGGGTCCACATCTGTAGTCGCATCCTTGGCAAGGGGCCCACTCTTGATGTCTAGGGCTGGGCATGCGGTGCAAGCCTCTTCCGCAACTCTTTGGAAACAATCAAAGCGCCGTTTGTTCGGCTTTTCGCCGATGCAGAAAGCACAGACTTGAGAACGCTCCTGCCGTTCTCCGATCAAATCCAAAAGTGAAGGGCGTGAAGTTGGTTTGGTTTCCTTTGCTTTCTGTGCCCGAGGGCTGTTTTGTTTGCTGGGTTCCGGCTGGTTGTTCTGCAGGCTGTGCGGAAAAGAAAGGCCCTGGTCGCGATGGTTTCTATGCAACTTTTCTGTCTCAAGGCTCTGGAAGCAACTTTTGACGGAAGGGAAGGGGTCACAACTTTCCGTTGGTTTGCCCTACTCTTCGGTTTGCGTGCCCGCCGGTCAGTTGCCGGTGGGGACCCCCCACTTTTCGGTGGGAAATCCCTGACTTTTGGGCTGGAACAGCCCAGTTTTCCTCTACTTTTCGGAGGGAACTCCTCGGGTCTCCTGAAGAGGACCATGGGAGCGGCCCGCAGGCGACACCTCCAGCTGCCTGTTGCAGCAGGCGGGACCCATGGGCCCAGACCTTGAGGTGGAGCGGCTTCCCCTGACCTCAGTGGAGCCCAGCTAACTCAGGAGGCAACCATACATTTTCCGGCTGGTGAAATGGAATAACTGGTTGCCTCGGCTTATTTTGGTTGCCTAAAAAAGTGGGTTTCCTAAAATGGAAATCACAGGCTCCGGTAACTGGTGGTTTGCTTGGTGACCTATACAGAGAATCACGGGATCAGCCAAGCAAAGGGTGCCCTGTTTCCCCTGCCATTGGATGGTGCCACGTGGCATCGTGGCTCTGATTTGATACGACCTTGAAGCGGACCAAGGAGTCGCCCTTTTTCATTCGAGGGACATGTAAGGGGCACGCAGTTCTTATTTTAAAGTCTTGTTTTTTTCGGAATAACATCTCTTGTAAGGGCAGTGGTAAAGTCATGACTTGAACTTCCCAAAGCGAATTCTCAGACACCAGCTCCAGGAAATCCAAAGGAAGTTTGCCAGAACCCTTCTGTCTAGTGACCACTTGAACTTGCTGGTGCTCAGAAGGGAATGAAGAAAATGAACCTGGGGATTCCCTTCAAGGAAACCATAGCTGTTCTGGTTTTTGTTCGGGCTCATTGCATGTCTCATCTGCATCTTTCGCACGAATGCGGATGGGTTTCGGGAGGTGGAGCAGCTGCAGAACGCTCTCGCGAGGGAGCGGCTCCTGTGCAGGTCCCTCCAGGCGCGGTCCGGACGGATGGATGACGGGTTTTTGTCCCCCGCCCAAAAGCAAACCTCCGCCCGCCCCCCCCCCCCCCGCAAAAGAAAAACAACAACAACAAGAAAAAATATCAAGCACAAAAACACAGCGAAGCTGCGTACGGGGGTTGCTGGAATACCAACTTTTCCTTTTTGTGCAAGGGGACCGATTCAAACAGAAGGTCGTTGTTCCAAGTAGTTGAAAGCTCGTCCTTAGAGCCTTCTTTTTTTTTGGGTCGTGAGTTCACTGACAGATCGATCCCTTGAGCCCCGGACAGTTCAACTTAAGCTGGCTTCAAAGGAAAACCCATCGGACACCAGTTGACAGCTCTTAAAACGCCAATGGCCAGGCGTCCAAGTCCATTTGGTTTGAACCTACCTGAGCACCTGGCATTGAACTCTGAGAAACCCGTTCCTCATGCCGGGTTGGGCGATTTCAACCCACGAGGGTGTGGGATGTGTGTCTCTGTGTGTGTCTGTGTGTGCGTGGTGGTTGGCTGCGACATTGTTTAATTGGCACCAAACGACATCTTCTTTTGGCCACTTTGCAATGTGCTCTTTGATTCTTTGAGGGGTGGGGGCGGAATCAAGGGTCCCAACCCAAAATCGACTCGTTCTGTGGGAAAGGAGGGAGCCCTTTATTAAACTAGTTTCAGAGGCAACCCAAGAGGCAATGACAATTGTGACGCAAGGGGTTCGGAAAGTTGTGGCTTGAGGGTTTGAGCCGGTACCCCCTTTCCAAGCCACGTTTTTCAAAGGACTCCTTGCTCTTTTCTGGAGCGCGGTCAGTTTTTCAAAGCCGGCTTTCTTGCCTTCTTTTTGGTTGAATCACGTTTCTTTCGGCAGATTGCTGCGGAACTCCGGCGCGATTTCAGGCGGACCTGGAGACACAGCGCGCCCTTAACGGCACCGGGCTCTTCCTCTCGTAAGACGAGCCGGGTCGCTCCAACTCGATGCGAAGTCTGGGAAGTCTGAGAGCGGAGGACGAGGAAGGACGCGCGAATCCCAAAAATCCTCACGTCCTGAGTTGGTCACTTTTCTGGTTTGGACCAGCTTAGCGGGTAATATGAAGTTTGGCCAGTCCTCCCAGGAAGTGAGATTCTGCAAGCCTGCCAACACACCCAGGTGTCCAACTGACAAACGTGCAACTACCAATGCGCTGTGGGTTTTTCTAGGGGCCAACCACTTAGATTGGGGTTTTGGAGGACTAAAAAACCAAGTTAAGGCATGATCAGGCGATCACAAGCTGTGTCGCTATTTTGGCCACTTATGTCAACCAAGCACGGGGATTGTAAATTGTAAGTCACAAATAAACACTTGCCCATTTATGCAACCGCTTCATCCTATTCCTGCTGTCCCTTGATCAAAGCCTGTTGCCCCCGCCCCCCCCCCCCCCCAGCCAGGAGGATCGCTCGGCGGAAGGAGGCGGACGTGGCGTGAGACGGAGGTGACGCGTGTCCAAGTCGAGTCCCAGAAGTTGCGAGTGCCGCGACTCCTGCGGCCCGAAAGAAACCGCCCGTGGCTGGGCTGGAGGTAGCTGGACATTTTGTTTCAAATCCGAGGGATGGATGTGTTGTTTTGTTGGACATGGAAAAATTGGGCTCCTTTGTCACCCTCTATGGATTCACTTATTCAACAACGAGACAACCTCGAAACATAGACCCCTTGATCATGCTCGTATGGTTGTTTTGGCAGACAATAGATGGCGCTTCCTGGTTGACCTGGCTGCTTTACAATCTATTTCCTCCTGGAGAGCGCCTTGAGCAAGTTTTTCTGAGGGGGGGGGTCCTTGGATTTTGTTTCAAGGGGCCCGGATTTGTGCATGTGCACCTGTGCTCTCTCATGGCTCAATTTGGTTTTAAAACTTTGGAACCTCCACGACCAAAGAAGGCGTCCTTGGGCCGGAAAGCCCCTGAAAGAATCATTGGCACTTGAACGCACGAAAGAGACTTGGGCGAAGTAGGCATTCGCCCCATTTGAGGCTTGTGTTTTATGTCGCGTCCTGATTTGTCCATTGGGGGTGGATCAAAGGTCGGCCCCCAAATAACCACGGGTGACCTTTTACATTTAGATGGGGAAGATCATTCCTGAGGGAACCACCCAATCGGCCACAGGGAGTTGGGACGATGGGCTCATTTGGGGGAGGTGGACTTGGGGAAGAGCTTTAAACATCCCAAGAACCCAGGGCGACACAAACGACACGTCCCCCATGCCCGGAGACAAGGGTCAATTTGACCGTGGCATCATGGGGATTCCTGTCCACCAACCACTCGCGGAGGGGGTTGAACCGAACAGGGTACGTTGAAGGGCTGACTGGTTGTGATTCGGAAGGTTTTGTGTATAGATCTATGTTCTTCCATTTTTTCGAGAAGCACGGAGCCGGCGCTGGATCACTCGGTCTTCACCAACATCTCGCGCATTTTTCGGCAGAGTTGTGGGTCAAAGGTATCGCCCGCATGAGCTGAACATAGCTAGCAGTCAGGGCCGGAAGCTGAATCGCTGAAGCAGGGCCCTCTCAGCCAGACTTGGACGACAGATCCAGGTCGACTCCAAAAGTTTGAGCAAACGCCGCCAGGGGCGGGCTGTTGGCCACTTTGCTTTCAGTTTCCCTGTGCCCCATGCGATGGGCAAGGGCGGGAAAGGAGGCAAAGGAGGCGGGTTCGTGGGGGTTCGAGGGGTTCGAAGGGGGGGGGGGCTGTTGACTTCAGCCTCGGTTCTGAGCTACTTGAAGCCGCCTAAACGGCCACGAAGTCCGACGGGGCATGGAGTTCGTTACCAACTCGGCGTCCGTGACGTCGGGAAGGAAGCAGGTTCCGTTGTCTCGAAACAACTTAGAGAATCTTGATACGAATGTTGACGGATGAGAAATCCGTCCAAAAGAATAGGGGGGTGTTCCCCTCCAAGAGTGGTATGAGGCCCCACTCAGGGAGGGACAACCTCGGATGAACATCAGCGTTCTACCTACAAGATGAACATGGAACCCAAGGAGGGTTCCTTCAGGAGGTTCCTGTAAAATGGCGCGGAGTTTTTTGGGGTCCAAATGTTCGCGTGTACTAGATCCGGGGTTCCCAGAGCACAATTCCCCTACCGGAGATGTTTTGAACTGCCTCGCGCTCGCGTCCCTTCTTGTTTGTTCCGGCTGAAATAAATAAGTAAACACAATATAACAAGTTAACATATATAAACAAAACAAAAGAAACGTTTGGGCAGGGGGAAGAGCCCAACATCGTGTGCCAAAAACAGTCGGCCCGTTTTTTTCTCCATGGCCCGGGGGGGTGCAGTGATATCCTTGTTGGGGATGGATTTGCAAAATGAAAAGGAGACCTGGGGTTTGGATTTGTCCCCGATTTCAGGGGTCGGTAGGCCCAAAGCTGCGGTTTGGTCCAGCTTGAAGGAAGGGTTTCGGAAGGGTCTGGGACTGGACGCTTTCAGCTCGAGCTCTAACAGGGCATGACATTGCCGCGATTTTCTGGCGCCAATTTTTTGAAACATGTGCTTGCCTGGTTCCGGGGGGGGGGGGTGAAACGAACGTCCCAGAAGTTCTCACTGCCCAACATTCCAGACTTACTTTTGCGAAGAAGACCAGTCAGTGGCGAAAGTTGGGCCAAGCGGGGCTAGTCGAGAAATCTGGAAGTGCGCATAGAACATGAACCCGTTCAGAGGAAGGTGAAAGGGAATCCGCCGATGCCAGTTTCTGACTATGATTGCCCCCACAACCAGTCAAAAGCATGACCCCAGATGAAGCCCGTATCCCCTCCGTTAAACCACTCGCGAAGCCGATCGACTTTTGTTCTGTCGGCTTTGACTTGACACCATGCGATTGAGCTGTCAGCTCCGGTGTTGGTGTCTCAAGTCGTCACCTGTCTGTTCACCTACTTGAGCAGGCTTCAGTCTTGGTTGCTGCTATATTTTCGGGCGACCCGAGGATTTCTTCAGTTTGATCAAACCAATTCTGATTTGACGGCGATTCTCGAAAAAAATGGGCCCCTTCCCTGGTAGATTTTCGAGTTCCACAAGTCACCCTGCACCAACCTTGAAGTCCGCCTCGCGGTCGTTTGCTTGCCAGGGCGATCAGTTTGGAGCCCAGAGTGCGAGGGAGGAAGGTGAACATTTCCATGGGCGCCCTCTGCAGCAAAAAAGTGGGGAAGCGGAATCTAATGTAGTGAGGCAGATGGTGCTACACTCTACCAGTGAACCCTTTCAGTTGGTCGGACAAGTGAAGAGTTCTTTTTATGGGACCCCGAATCAAAAGTGGCGAGCTCAAGCTTAAGATTTGGGTTTCGTAGCAGTGGCGGCTGCCTGAATCGGGACCCGAAGTCTTTCTGGTGCCCACCATTTCGGGCCCCCAAACAACAGCTGCCAACATCAAGCAGGAGTTATTCATTTGGGTGTGTCTTCTGTTAGGAGACCCCAATATGGTGGTTTTCCTTTCGGTCTCCTTTTTAAAACTGGAGTTGGTCCTCCACGGTATTTCTTCTCTGTTGGCGCCCTTTCAAAAGGGTAAAACGGGCCTGGTTCTTGCAACAACACGAGGAACTTTGCATCTTTTTTCAGGATTTTCTCTTCTGATTGAGCAGTGTTCCTTTTATAACAAACAACCCTCAAGAATCCGCCCCATTTTTTTTTTTTAAATTTATTTTTTCCGGGAAGCCATGCCTCCCCTTGCCAATACCCCTTTCAAGCTGTAAGGGATGGGATTGCCCAGTGGATTAGATTCATTTCAGGATGCAGTTTGGAAACATGAGCCAAAAACAACAAACTTTAGAAACACTCCTTTTGCAAACAGGGTTCCGAATCCAACTCAACACTTGACACTCCAATGGAGTATCCTCGGTGCCTGACCCCGAGAATAGATCGGGCTGGCCGGAAGTTAAGTCCAATCCCAGCAAGTGAGCTGGTTTGGTGGTTTGGACCTGACGGCTGCGGAAGAGATGCGTCAATGGACAAGTCGCAATAGGTAGACACCCTCATTTCTACGGGGGTTCGTCATTTCTTCTCGAGAACCAGGTATGTGTTGGCTTGGTTTCCATGCCGCGTTCCTTTCCCAAGTGAAGAAAGGGTCTGCGATTTGTCTGGACGTCGGCAAAGGCCAAAGGGTCTGATACCGAAAGGACAAACTGTCTGTCCAAGCCTCTAGTGTTCTTGTTCCCGCAGATTCAGAGGTATCAATGTGTCCGCAACAAGCAACTTATGGCCCTGCAAGCAAGCTCTTCCTTTCGGGAAAGAAAACGCAGAGGCACACTGAGCGGTTTCTTCGCCCGTTGCATCGGATGCAAATGGTTAAGGAGAAGGGTAAAGGACAGGAGGCTGACAGACGGCGCGGGCCTCAGGAGGATCTGGATCCTCTGGCCTACCCAGTCCCCAAAGTAGCATTGAACCCAAAAAGGGGTCCGGGACCCAATGCTGTTGTTTCGGGTTCCATGCAGGGGCGTCTTTAGCTCGACAAGTTGCCTGAACTTTTGGCTGAGCATCAAGAAAAGGACCCCTTTAGCTTTGGTTCTACCCCCCGAAACCCGTCTTTTTCTTGATTTCCCCAAGGGGATCGGTCTAACGTTGGCAAGCGCCCGTTGGACTTCGGCTGGGCCACGGGGTTGACATGTTGACATTCGAAGCCTCCGGGATTTAAATCTGGGGACAAATGGGGGTGTCTCATTTTTCTGAGGTTTTAAAGGGACGATAGGGACGCACAACGACCATCTGTTTGTTTTTTTTGTTTGTGGGGGGAGGATGGGGACGCTAAAGGCACAAGGACGACCTTTTTTTTGTTGGGGGGGTCGCCTATTCTAAGACACACCCGTAGACGGTGGGTTCCACAAGGATCGCGCTCAATGGATTTGGGAGCCGCGTGCCGGTCGATTTGGAGAATTATTATTTTGGCCCATTGAACTCTCTCTTCTAAAGAGCCTTTTTTGTTTTTGGCTTCCACATCGTCCTTTGTGATTATGTAGTCTGCAAGAGAAAACACAAAAGAAGGCAGGAGTGAACATTCGCCAGTTCTCTCGAGGCGAATTTCGTCTGACGAGAAGGGATGTCTGATTTTTGTGGGGGGAGATTTGTCAGGTTAGCACCAATCCAGACGGGAAGCTGATATGTGCCATCACACTTAGACATGATCCCCCCCCCCGGCCCCCGCCGTCAACTGGCAACTGGGGAGGGGACGGGATTCGAAGAAGGGTCCCCTCTTTCCTCGCGGGATCTGGCTTCTCCTATCTGGGGGTTCGGCCATTTTGAGTGTTTCGCCAGTTCGCAATGTCTGTTGGTTGATCTCCCATTGTCCTTGTCTCAATCGCTTGTACTTCGTTCGGTTCTGAGCCAGGGGTAGCAGCTTGTCCCATTCTTTTTTCCCGCATGCGTTTCATTGTACGTTCGAACCTTTCTGAACATCTGGAACGTCTAGGGGTAAGAATTCCGGCCCACATGGCTGAACAGAGTGGGCGAAGAGACGGGGGCACCCATCCGCTGG